GCCCCCGCCGCCGCCCCCGGCCGTACCTGCATGTGCCAGTCGTTGCCGGCCAGGAAGCTCCGCGCCACCGCCTCGTCGCTGCTGGTGATGGCGGCGAACTCGGAGCACAGCACCCTCCTCCGCTTGGCGAGGTGTAACGCCTCCTCATCCTCCTCCGCCGCCGCCGGCAGCGGCTCACCCGCCTGCGGGCTCCGGGCCGCCTCGTCGCTCTCTTCCCGCCGCTGCCCCTCCGCCGCCTCCATGGCTCCCCGGGCAGCGGGGCGGACGGAAGCCGTGGGGAAGCTCCACCCGCCGGGGTTGCCGTTCCGGGGCGCGGTCGGGCGGTCGGCGGGGCACTCAGGGCAACATGGGGTGCACGATGGAGAGCCTGAGAGAGGCCATAAAGTACATGGTGGAGTCGCAGGGCTTCGACCGGGTGCTCCGCAAGGTACGGGAGAGGGCGGCGGGGCCCTCGGGTGGGCGTCCCGCCATAACAGCAGCCCCTCACGGGAAAGACGGCGGTGCGCCTGAGGCGGGGCCGCCCCTTTAAAAGCCGTTTTTCCCCTCCCAGAATACAAGGCCGAGCCCGGCTGAGTTGCGGTTCCTTCCGCGCAGTCTCGCCGAGCTCACTCGCCTCGGGCGGGCGGCAGCCCGGCTGACGGTGGCCCCGGGGCCGGCGCCGACCGAGGGCTGGGGTGTGTTCGCTGAACCCTGACCGCGGTGGCGCGGACCTGCCGTTGTTTTCCCCAGATTCGAGCTTTCCGAACGGCGGTGTGCGGCAGTGGTGGTGACACACAGTAGAAAACACAGGTTGTTGCTCGGTAACTCTTAAATTCTAGCGCTCCTTTCCAGTACCTCTCTGAAGACGAGGATCGTGCTGAATAACTGTTACAGGATTTCGCCTGGCTGTGGGTATCTCTAGGCTTGCTTTGTTAACAACTCAGAGTTGGGCCATCACCTCAGTGAGTGGCAAGGACTAACAAAGAGCACCTTCTGTATATTACATGACATTGTGCAATACAAAAGTCTTTGGTGTTTTTCCATGATCTCTCAGTCTCCAATTCTTCATCAGTTTCAAAAGTCCATTATATTCTTCAGCTTCATCTAATTCTCACTGTTCCATTCCAATTCCTCTTTTGAAGTCACTGCTCATTGGTGTAGTCTTCGGTCAACACGGTTACTTACCTTCTTAAAAAATCTTCATCGTAATTCTCCTTTAGTATTCTGAGAAAAAACTCAAGATGTTGTGTTTAACATATACTTAATCTGTGTCTAAGTTTAAATGCCTAACCTTTATAAATGGCTTACTTTAATCACTTATTTCTTGTCTTCTGTTAGGTGTAAAACTTAATACCTAAGATTAGTTTCTGTTAATTCAGATTGACATGGGGCAAATGAGCAGTACTGGCATTGGACTGTCAGTGTTGTTCTTTGAACACCTGTATTCTATCAAACCTATAAGACTAAATCTATTTATCAATTATTAACAGTATCTTAATAAAGAGCCTTCTAAGAGCTTTCTCCTTTTACAAATTCCCTCCTTTTGTTTTCATTGCACTCTTGCTATCCAACACAACACTGAAACAGTGTAATTATTCAAACTATTATGACTGTCGTTAAAACACTAACAATTCTATTGGTATTGGCATCCCGATATCGCGATGCAAACTTTTTCCACAAGGTGTCGCTCCTGTAAAAAAGAGAGATAAGTACAGATGATAATATTTTACAACAGTTCATTATGCTTCGGATTCTTTACGGGCATGAGAATGATGGATCCAAGTCTCTTTCCTAGATACCTTAAAGAGAAGTTGATAAAACAGTATAAGGCCCTTCCCATTTTGATTCACATCTGGTTTTCCTTTTAAAATTCTTAATATAAACTTTGTCTCCTGGTTGAATATTATGAACCTGAATTTTGGGAGTTATTCCCTGGTACCAATAAATATGATTGCTCATTTGAAAAAAAAAAGTTCTGCAAATATAAAAGATTTTGTGTGACCTGCTCATCTTTGTCCAAAAGACTTTTTTTTTTTTTTTTTTTTATACATACTTGGTACAGCAAGTATTCTCCTAAATAAAATTTCAGCTGCGGAAACCCCAACTGGCTGTCTTAGGGTATTTATCATATCCCACAAAACTCAATTTAAAGCATCAGGCCACTTTAGGCCAGTCTGTTTACAAACCTTAACTAATTTTTCTTTTAAAGTTTTGTTCATTCATTCTACTTGGCCAGATAATTTGGGGTGATGTGGAATATTAAATTGACCAAAAATCCCTAAAAAAATTATAAATTTGAATTAAAATTGCAGCTGTGAGATGACTTCTTCAATCAGAATCAATAACTTCAGGAACTCTGTATCTCGGGATTATTTACTTCAGTAGAATTTTTACTACTGCCTTTGAATCATTTTTGTTAGTAGGAAAAGCTTCTATCCATCCTGTTAACTGATCGGCTATCACTAATGTGTAAGAGTACCCCATTGTTTTTGGCATTTCAGCCTAATCAGTTTGGAGTTTTTGAAAAGGAAAGGTGGTTGGAGGTCTTTTCCCACTGGGAGTCTTAATTCATACAGAAGCATATTGTCTATACAGTTTACATCCTTCACAGATTCTTTTAGCTGCTGCATAAATTCCTGGGGCAGCCTAAAGTCTTTGAATCCGGAGCACTAAGCTCTCTTGGCCCCCCGTGAGTTTTTTCGTGGTGCCATCACGTGAACAGTAATAAATACCTTTTGGGGAGAAGAGGTTTGTTGTTTAACATCTGCTGACCTCCTTGACTTTGAGCTTCAAGTCAGATCCATTGCTTTTCTTTAGGGAGACCTTCATATAACCTGTTTATGTCTGGGAGTTCAGGTGTCACCTCATGTTGTGACAGTGACATGATGGACACATTCTGTCGTGCTGCTGCTTTAGCTGATCAGCTAAAGAGTTTCCTTTTGAAATCATATCTTGTTTCAGAGTGTATGCATTTATATAAATGACAGAAATTTCAGAGGGTAGCTGTATCACCTCTAATAATTCTTTGATCTGTTTTCCATGAGCAATAGACTTTCCTGCTGACGTTAAGAAAAGAGTCTGTGTAAATGTTAACCCTTATCCCAATTGCATATTTAGTAGCTTCCGTAAAGGCAATTATTTCTGCTCCGTGTACATTTAAAGGTGCAGGCAAAGGTCTTGCCAACAGTACCTGTGTTTCCCTAGTCACTGCGAAACCAGTACATCTTCAACCTCCTTCATAATAGGAGGAGCCATCTGTGAAGAAGTTCAAATCAGGGTTATCTAAAGGTTGATCTTTCGATTCATCTCACGGTTTGCTGGTTTCACTTAAGAGTTGGACACAGTTATCTTTTTCTACATTGGAGGGTAAAGGCAGTAGGGTAGCCGGGTTCTAAGTGTTGCACCTTTCCAATTTTAAATTATCAGCCAATAACAGAATTATATCTATGTGCCCTTTGCGGAGATAAAGCTTTCTCTGCATATTGTTTTAACAATATCTCTACCTCATGGGGTACCCAGAAAGTTAGTGGATGCCCTAGAACAATTGTCCTGTTTTTTTCTACTATCTCAGCTGCTGCTGCTATTGTTCTAATACAAAAAGGAATTCCTTTAGTCACTGGGTCTAACTTAGAAGAAAAATAGGCAACAGGTCTTTCATATGGTCCTAAAGCCTGTACTAGCACCCCTTTTGCAGTTCCTTTGTTTTCATCACAATATAATTTAAAAGGTTTTGAATAATCAGGAAGTCCCAGAGCAGGGGCAGACAAAAGTGCTGCTTTTAGACTACGAAAGGCTTTTTCTCTCTCAGTACTCCCAAGTAATTGGTTTCACTTCCTCATTTTGGGTAGCCTCATGCAAAGGCCTAGCTATGTTACTAAACCCTGGGCTCCAAGGGTGACAAAACCCTGCTTGTCCCAAAAATCCTCTAATTGCTTTTTAGTTGTCGGTCTAGGTATCTCTTGAATTGTTTTGACTCTCTCAGGATCCACCTCCCTTCTTCCTGGTTTTAATATAAATCCAAGATATTTCACTTGCTGTTTACGAAATTGTAATTTGGATGGAGATGCACGGTGTCCCTTTTTAACAAGTTGAATACATAAGTATTTGGTATCTCTGATACAATCATTCTTGGTTTTGCTTGCCAATAATAAATCATCAACATATTGGATTAAAACAGCTTTATTTGGAAAAACTAGATCTTGTAAATATTTTTTCAAAATTTGAGAAAATATTGTTGGAGAACTAGTCAATCCTTGTGGTAACCTAGTCCAAGTTAACTGCTTTCCTTGCCAAGTGAAGGCAAAGATTGATTGGCTTTCTTCTGCAATTGGGATGCTAAAGAAAGCTCCTGTAAGATCAAGCACCATGAAATACTGTGCCCAGACTGGAATCTGTGTTAAAATCAGACTAGGATCTGGTACCACAGGATGTGGAGCAATTACATGTTCATTTACAGCTCCTAAATCTTGGACAAATCTATATTCAGAATCTCCATCTTTGTCTACTCTGTGTTTACTAACTGGTATAATAAAATTGGAGTATTATAAGGATTACAACATCCTTCAAAATCCCTTTTTCTAAAAAATGTACAATTTGCTTTTCTATTATACTGGGAACAGCCTCATTTATAATTGGATATTGTTGAATTGAAGGAGGGGTTTGTTTTTACCACAATAGTTTTGGCTGATTTTAACAATCCTGTTTCATCTCCTGACATACTTCAAAGTTCTCTAGGGACTGCAGCCAGTTCAAGTGGTATACTTTTAAAATTATTTTGTCTTTGATCTCCAAGTTGAATTATTTCTGAACCCATTATAATTAGTTGGATCCCTGTTGGAGCCAAGGAGATAAACATACCAAATTCCTGCAAAAGGTCTCATCCCAAAAGGGAAATAGGAGAACTGGGAGATATCACAAATCTTCCCCAAGCCTATTTCTTATCTAAGATTACAGGCAAAGGGGTAGATAAACATTTTATCTCTTCCCCTACCACTCCCCATATTATTACTGTTTCATGCAAAATTTGGAGAACTTCAGAATTCAGTAAAGACAAAGTTGTCCCCATATCCACTAGAAAATTAACAAATACTGTTTATCTTTGCAGAAATCTGACCCTGCTCATCTACCTTGATTCTAACAGGCTCCATTGTTCCTTCAGTTCCCAGAGAAGATGGGTATCATTTTTTCACTGTGAATGAGGTCGATGTGGTCTGACAGGTGAAGATCCTCCTTGTGCAGACATGGGTCTCAGCAGACACTCTCTCTGCATGTGGCCCAAATTTCCACAATAGAAGCACTCTAAATAATTAGCATATTGAGAAATAGGAGCAACTCTTGCCTCGCACCCCTCTCCCTCTAAATTCACCTCGGGGAAATCCTTGACTTCTTCTCAGGTTATGGGTTTGAGTAAATGCTGCAACCCATAACCCGATTTTCTTTCTCTTTTCGCTCTCACTTTTTCTCAAGTTTTAATCTTTCTTCTTGCTGCTTTTGCTTTCTTCATCTCTTCTGTCAAAAACAAAAGCAGCAATGCTTAAAATTTTGGTTAATGTTTCACCTTGCCAGCCTGGTATGTGTTTCTTAAAATATTTATTTATGTTTGGAGCAGATTGATCTACAGAAGCACTAACAGCTAATGGTTCTTGGAAATTATCATCGGTCATACCCTTATATTTTAGAAAGTAGCCTTCCATCGGCCCCAGTAACCGCTTGGGTGTTCATCCGTTTTTTGCCTACATTCTAAAACTTTTGTCCAGTTAGTTTCTCTCTTACCTGCTTGTCAGACCACTTCTATTAGTTGCTGGATAGCAGCCTTATTAGCTCTTGTTCCCTCTGTGGTTGCTAAATTCCTTTCTGGATCTTGCTCAGGCCAGGGATTTAATCCTTGGCCTCTATGAGCAATCTCTTTATCCTTTTGAAAAATCTTTTCCCTTTCCTCTGATTGAAATAGTTCTCATAATAAAGTTCTCATATTCTTCCAACTAGGGGTATAATCAGTGACAATTCCCAATAACAGTTGAGCACATTTTTCAGCATCATCTTGTAACCGAGGCGTTTTTGCCTGCCAAGCTACTAAAGCACCTTGCTTCCAAGGTTCATGTCTCATAACTGAGGTTACTGCAGAGACTAAAGCAGGTGCACCAGGACCTGCTCTAGGGTTTGGGATGTAATCCAAACACATTGGATTCATGCCAGTATTACTAGAAGGAAATTCAGTTTCCTCAGCCTCAGGACCTGAGGGAAGTAAACTTCCCCTAGTTTTCCTCAAAAGATTTTTCTTTCTTTGTTGAGCCCAATTATACCAGATACACCAATAATCAGTATCCTGACACCCAGAGTCTTCCAAAATTATTCTTAAGAATTTTTGCTTATGGGGTTTAAATGGTCCCTTAGGAGGCCATACATCCATTGGCCCTCCTCCTCTATTTCTCATCAGGAATGGCCATTCCTCTTAGCACAATATTATTAGTTTTCTCTTCTGTAACGTTTGTGCCAAAGATCTCTTTCCCCAATTCTCTAAAACTTCAGCAAGGGGTGTCCCCATTTCAATGCAGGATGTTGACCCCATCTCTTTTCCTTTATCTTACCTTGTTTTGCAAATTTAAACACAAGAGTTTCCCAGTGTAATTCTATCTGGAACTACATGTATCCAAGTCTCGTAGGTGAACTCACCTGGTATTTCTTTTTGCTGGCAGTTCGAGTGTTGGTAACGGGTTTGCCCAGAGGAATATCTGGCTCTTCCTCTCTTGTGTGCTAGTGTCACATCTGGGTCACCAAATTCTGTTAAAGGATTTCGCCTGGCTGTGGGTATCTCTAGGCTTGCTTTGTTAACAACTCAGAGTTGGGCCATCACCTCAGTGAGTGGCAAGAACTAACAAAGAGCACCTTCTATATATTACATGACATTGTGCAATACAAAAGTCTTTGGTGTTTTTCCATGATCTCTCAGTCCCCAATTCTTCATCAGTTTCAAAAGTCCATTATATTCTTCAGCTTCACCTAATTCTCACTGTTCCATTCCAATTCCTCTTTTGAAGTCACTGCTCATTGGTGTAGTCTCTGGTCATCTTGGTTACTTATCTTCTTAAACAGTCTTCATCATAATTCTCCTTTAGTATTCTGAGAAAAAACTCAAGATGTTGTGTTTAACATATACTTAATCTGTGTCTAAGTTTAAATGCCTAACCTTTATAAATGGCTTACTTTAATCACTTATTTCTTGTCTTTTGTTATGTCTAAAACTTATTACCTAAGATTAATTTCTATTAATTCAGCTTGACTGGGTTTTAAACCAGCCATAGAGAGGGCTGCACAGGGGGCAAATGAGCAGTACTGTCATTGGACTGTCAGTATTGTTCTTTGAACACCTGTATTCTATCAATTAAACCTATAAGACTAAATCTATTTATCAATTATTAACAGTATCTTAATAAAGAGCCTTCTAAGAGCTTTCTTCTTTTACAGTAACCTTCCATGAGTTATTTAGTAACTAGTGTTCTTCCCTTCATAGTACCTCTGACTAAGCATAACTTTCAGGACTGTAAAATGATGAAATAAATACTCTTCTGGGTTTAAAAATGAACAAAAGTAGCTTATTATAACTTCTCACACCTCACCTTGAAGTCAGACTGAAAGCACAAGCACCTCAGCCCTCTCTTGAGTTTCTACACAAGGACTAATATAAAGAAATGTATTTGACTGGTATGGCTCTAATGTAATACTCCATTATGATCAAAAAAAGTTGAAATGATGTTACTGTATTAAATTTTGTAGCTGCTGTGAACTAGGTGGTCCTGTGAAGCAGTTTCAGTGTTCCCATTAAATTTCGCAGTGCTAGAATGCTCCATTTAATTTCTATTTATTTGTGTAGCTGTGACGTTCAGTGATGCATTAAATTTATCTAAGAAAACCAACCAAATGTGTATGTTTTGCATTGTAGAGGAGCAAATGTAATATTGGAACCAGTGCTTTCATTGAAAGCTCCATGATCTGGTACATTTAATAGAAAGTAACTATTTGCAAACACTCTTACTGTCTTGTTTCCTCAAGAAGTTTTGGTCTTGTATTTAAAAAGTATAAAGTTTTAAGTTTAAGAAGCTCATTTATTTAGAAAGAGTCCAATTAGTTCTTAGTCACCACTTCACTGTAATAACTTTACCTTAAAATCTTACTAAGTGGAGTGTTTCAGCTCATAAAGGTAACTGTCTGGAAGTGAGCCTTGGGAGATAGGCTTTCCTGCCTTGCTCTGGAATACTTTTAAACTTTTTCTGCAATCTCCTTCTAGAATTATGGTGCTATGAACATAATCATAATAACAATAAAAGTAGAGTTTTGTTTGAATGTAAAGTATTTGCTGTTTTTCTGGGAGATACCTGAAGCCTTTCTTACCATAATTAAATATGATCAAGATTTTTACTGTTCTGGAGAAGACAGATTTTAGTCTGAAACTTCTCAGCTCCAGCATCAGACTTGGTTTCTGGTTTAATTCCAGGCTGGTATCTACATAGGGCTTAATGATGGTGCGTTTTAAAGCCCTTTCTCCAAAGAAGTAGCACATCTCAGTAGTGGCTGGAAGCCGAAGCAGCATACTGTTCCCTGCAACAGACAGACCTGTGGGAGGACAAGCACAGAAGGGCTGCGAGAAGTACAAACCAGCAGCTCTAGCTGTGTTAAGTCCTGGAAGTGTTCAAATACTGAACTATTTTCATCAAGGAGAACAGGCAGCTAGTGCCAGATCAGAGCAATGACAAAACCCAGATGCTTTCCTTGCCTTGCTGATGGATTGGAGAACTCCCTGACGGTAGTGGAAGCCATCTGCTCCCAGTGTCAAGTGTCAGTAAAGTCCTCATTAGAAATTCTGTCAGAAACGTAGGCCTCCATAGGCCTCCAGTCAGTGCAGCACAGCGTGCCTGCTTTAGGACTTGGGATTTTCATTGATCAAGGTGCTATTTCTTTATTAGGACACTGCCTCAGTGATTTCCCCTCTGTTTAATTCCAGCATTTTCCATTCATAGATGGACTCTGTACTACGTCATCATTTATCTTAGTATCACGTCTTTGCAAAATTTGGATAAACTTTGGCCTATTGGAAAGGGACGTTGGCTGAAACTGAGCTCTTACACTGCATTATATACAAGAAATAGTGAAACTGGGGACATTTCAATCTTAATTCCTTTTAAGATTAAAAAGATTTAAGTCAACTCATCTGATTAAGTCAACTCAGCTGATACAGTATGGAAACACGTACGCTTAAAAAAAACTTTGTAAAAAAAGTTACATTAGTAGGAATTATAATAAATATTATGCCCACATTTCACTTGTGACAGTCTAAAGGTACTTCAGAGTCTTAGTTGTAGGTGTAAATATATGTGTTGTACTTAGACCAGTTTTGCATCTGCTTTCACATTTTGAATATATTTCAGATTTTGAATATAGTGCTACTGACTGAAGAAACTTGAAAAAAGGTTTTAAAATACTGAATTGCAGTAACTTCTTGGTGTCAGATATCCAGCTGTTGGTTACAGGGGGAAGCATGGTGCCATAGACATACTGTAATTTTCTATTTAACACCTGTGGGCAAGAATAAAAGAGTATACACAAATCATGGTTCTGTAACACAGTGTGATACAGCTTTGCATACTTCTACCCAGGAGTATGAATTTCGGTTCGGGGTGGTCAATCTGATTAGCATTTCCAGCGCTCATTTCAAAATACTGATTTTTACTGAGATTGCTCTAGTATAATAATTCATTAATTACTGTCTGTCTCATTTCCATTTTGTGAGCCAACAAATACACCTTCACAACTATGGTACACACAGATAATCAGAGCAGTTTTGTGTTTCCTCTAATCTGTTTTTTCAGTCACAGATTAAAGCAGAAGGAAAACTGAAGAATGTTGTGTTCTAAGCAATTTGTGAGAGCATAGCAAGTATTGAAGTTTTGTTAAGCTATCGGTTTAAATGTTTATCTGCGCTAGAAATACAAATTTTTCTAAGGCAACAATCTTCTGCTCAAAATTTATGGAAATACCTAATGTGATAGTTGAATTACTCTATTTTCCATCTTTTGTCTCATGAGTCCAGAATTAAACAAGATTTACTTTCAATTTGATTCAGGGCAGTATCGGGTGTTGGTACTACTGTCAGTAAGCTTTTTATTCCTTCTGTGGTTATACAGATGAAACTCCTTTCCGCAACTCCTGGAAAAGTTGTTTGTGAAATGAAAGTAGAGGAGGAGCATACGAATAGAGGTGGCACATTACATGGAGGTTTGACAGCCACGCTTGTGGATGTGGTGTCAACAGCGGCGTTGCTGTACACAGAAAGAGCACTGCCTGGGGTCAGTGTGGACATGAACATCACGTAGGTATCATTCGCCATGTTTATCAGAACATACTTCCCCTAACACGATATTGTACTTCATTTCTGTGCTGTAGTACTAACTTAAAAGGAGGTGTTTTCTTGGGTTTCAGAAGACTTGTTTTGTAAATAAAGTGTGGAATGTATTTGAGGATATTTTCATTTGGTTGCAAAATTCGAGTTGGGCTTTCTTAAGCTTTTGTTTTGTTACATTTGTTTAAGAGACTACCCATTCACAGAGTGTAAAGGGGTGTTGGGATGTGGTAAATTTAATCTTATGAAATTGGCTCAACTTCTGTCTTCACTTGTGAAGATGTGTTAGTATGTCTTCAAACACAAGATCTAGGGTAGGCAGCTTTCTGTAAACCCTTAGTATTAGTCCATAAAATGTTAAAAGAGGAAAAATACTAAAACAGGAAACAGTTTAGCTCTGATGTATGCTCACATAGAGGCTTAATTACAGATTGAATCAGAATTTTTCGGTGGAGGAACCTTCCTTTGCTCTAGGTCATTTAAAGGTAGTTTTATACTGAGAATAGTTCTTCCTGTAATGCAAATTTAAAGCCCAGTGTCTTAAAAAAAAAAAAAAAGTCCTTCTTTGATCGTGCTATTTTAGCTTGTCAGCTTTGATTCATTACTTTCAATGAAGAGGTTATGACTCATTGGAACTAAAGTAATCCTGCTTGGAATAACTAACACAGACCAATAAAAATCTTACAAAAGTAACCCTCATCAAAACTGTCTTAAAAAAAAAAAAAAGCTTTACAAGTGTGTGGGGAGTGACCTGTATCTTTACCAGGTTTCCTCCTTTCCCCCCCAACACCTTCTAGTTTCTCCACTGGGCAGGTAGGACTGGACCATCTATTTAAGCTTTATCCTACCACTGTGATGACTAGGAAATTACTGGAAATTAAAACCTGAAATTATCCTATCATTATTATTTTTTCCTACAGCAGTATAACAAGAGGCCAACATCTGAATTATTTACATTATCAGTTACATTATCAATTGCCTACTCGATTACATAAAGGCTAAAATGTTAAGGAAGTGCTCTCTTTGGAGGTGATCCAAAGTTATTTGAGTAGCATAACCTTTAGGAAATGTTACATGAAGCAGTAATAGCTTTGTTTAACCTGCGCTGTTGCTTTCACTGAAGTAAGTGATACTGGATGTCAAATACTGCTATAATACAGCTTTTTCCTTTTTGGAAAGGAGCTTTTTAAAAAGTTGGCACGAGGAAGCTATTTCAGTAGTGGAAAGAACAGAGAGTAACAGAAACTTTTTTTTTTAAAAAAATCACAAGAGGATCAACAGCAGCCTCTAAAAATGAAACAAGACTGAAACCCTGCCCCCTGTCAAGTAATGGGGCTTGTGCTCCATCAAATGTAGGTGTGACTGTTATACTTTTGGCATGGTGTCATGTATAAGAATGGACTGGTTAATTAAGTTTATCTCGGTAGGATTTTTATCTGGCGATTACACATTCTCCTCTGTAATTCTAACATTTGAATATTGTTCCCTTAACTCAGTTCATGGTTGGATCATGTTCCTCCTGGTTCTTTTCAGGCTTTTTGTGGGGGAATTTCTTCCTGTTCCCTTGAGAGTGTGTTCTAAAAGAACACCCCTCCTACTCGAAGTAAATAAAAACAGTTATCTAATGGATGGAAACAGAATTAAACCTGGGAAGTTTGAAGGCCTCCCAGATTTCCATGACTTTTCTCTGATCAGGGTATGGGAAGCGATTAACCTACACTTGGGTTCCATACAGAAATGACCTTCTAGAGCCTTTGAGACATTTTGCAGCTGAACCAGCCAGACTAGTTTTGAAAGGCTGTCGGGAGCCAGCAGTGGCTGGAATAGGACTTGGAGCTGAACTTTTAACTCAGGTCTTTGATACCTAATTGTTTCTGTTCCAAAATGGACTTTTCCTCAGCAGCAAGCCAATGGGTTTCTTTCTGTCCTCCATTTTCTCAGAGAATTCTTACAGTGAATTACCACTGCAGTACTTAAAGGAACTAAAAGTCTTTAAGAAGTGGGGATTTGCAAGCAGGCAGTTAAGAGAGATGTGTCTTTATCACTCATTTTTGCTAATTCCCTTCATGATAATCAAAAATGCAAGAATATTCTTGGATTTGTGCTCTGTACAGCCTCTTACCTGTTAATTTTGTTCTTCATTGAAGATATACTTCTGCTGCTAAGATTGGAGAAGAGATACTGATTACAGCTCAGATTTTGAAGCAAGGAAGAAGTATTGCATTTGCCACCGTGGATTTAACAGATAAGGCCACAGGAAAGTTAATTGCACAAGGTAGACATACAAAGTATCTAGGAAGTAATACAAGCAAGTAATTTAAAAAAAAAAAAAAAGGGCTTATAATTCCATATCGAATGATTTTCTCATTTATACAATAGGACATCTGCAGTAAGTTTGGTAGTTTATATCAAATGAATTTGTCTCAGTCCCATAAGAAGTGAACAAATTTCTTAGTTACCACCAGAATTGATACAGGCCTAAAATTAGTGCCTATTTTGAGATGAACAACAGAGTATGATAGCACGGGGATGCATCTGGCTTTTTTTGGTCAAAGTAGCAGATTGGAAAAGCCTTTGCATCAGCCATATGGTTTACCAGCATGACAGTGTTTTAAGAGTTCTCCATTTTCTTTGCCTGTGGTGTCATCGTGTTACAAAGCAACCCAGTCTTCCAGCCCATCACAGTCACATTCAAACAACGCTGTATATGCTTACAAACTGAACTACTTGTGCTGTAAGACGGTAGTACAGAGATTCCTATAATATAGTGTGAAGCTGGTTTGAAAGTGTAAAGTAGGCTAATACAAAATGTAATTTACTGATGCTGTAATAAAGTCAAGTGTTCAATAAAGCTTTCTGAAACTACCTTTTTAAAGATTATTTAATAGTTTTGTAATCTCTTTGCACTGAGTAAAAGCTTGCCAGCATGGAGTGGTTGAGAGAGGGTGCGGTAGAACCCTTGTATGCAAATTCACCTGAGATTTCATTATATCCCTGTGATGCCTGAATGTGAAAATGTAGTTACATCATCAGGGCTTTTCACCTCTACCTACCTGAAGTACTGGCTACATTTGTTTAAAAATCATCAGCTGAGAGTTAGAGATACATCAGAATAATTTGTTGAGTCTTTCATCAGGCTAAGTCTGTAGATTGTCCGACTTGTGTTGAATGCGGTAGAGTTAAGCTGCTATTCATCCGCTGAAGACTTGTCTCCTCATGCACTGTTGTGGACACGTTTAACTGCTTGCTTCACACTGATGACAAACGATCCTTGGCAAGGCTGTCACACTAATTAAAACATCGATGCTACATGTGCAGTGCAAGTTTACATAAACCATGACCTTGTTTTTTCTTCTCTAGTGGGAGATTTGAAAGTTAATCTACACTAGTAAAGGGCATGCATAGTTCTTTTTGTCATGGAAGTTGACTCATTGTTTTCAGTGATTTGAATTTTGTGATTAAATGTGCAGCCAGAGCTTTTTTGTGCATTCCTAAACCTAAAGAAACAATTTCCAGTGAGTTAAATGACCTGTTCATGCATGCCATGATTTTCAATATGAAGTTGACCAAGTTTACTAATATATGAGCAATCTTACAAAAATTACTTTCAAACAAGTGATATATAGTTGATACTTTACCCTTCAATGGAAGTTCTCTAAAAAAAATACCTACAACGGGCTCAGGCTATCAGCATGTATTTTTGCTGCAAGTTTAGAACACTTGTTCATGGTATATACATTCTCAACAAAGGCTTTTCCTCCGAGGCTTACATGCCTGTGGCTAGTTGAACTTTTAATAATAGCATCCTCTCTTCAGCAGTACATTCATAATTATTTTCTCCCCACTATTTGCACTCGTGTTCAGAACCATCCCCCAATCCCATTTATAAAAACACAATGTGTTGCTAAAGCAGTTCTGTGAAGATATTTATTACAGAAGCAACCTTTTTTTGTTTTAAATACTTGCTCATCAGAACTGTATGCTTCACTGTATTAAATTGTATTTCACTTTACAGCTTCCTCTGCCCAGAGGTCTGTCATGATTCTTAAACATCTTCAGCTCCTCTACAATTACTAAGATGAGCAAAGAGGCTCCATCACAGCATGTGGACCCACCTAGTAGGTTTAGCAATTGCCATTCTGGTTATCTTCCTTAACATGTTTTGGCATCTCCAATCACCTTTTTTCTCATCCTTAAGTTCACTGGTTTTCTTCCATAGGTTACCTATGTAGTAGAGTGCAAGGAAATAGAAGCGAGAATGAAAACTGCTCCCCCAGCTACTCTACCCCACCCCCACCCCCCCTCACTGGAACACAAGAGTGATTTGGCTTATTATCGGAAATAAAAGGCAGAGGGTGAGAACAAAGGAGGTGCTGAATTCAATACGTGCCAAGATATTCAGAACGCTTGGCTCTGTGTGCTGGGGCAACTCTGCTCTTGTGTAACTGTCCCACTGCAACTTAACATGACTTCCCTCAATCAGCGCTGGGAGCTATCACTTAGTATTCATATCTGCATAATTACAATTGAAAAGTGTCCAGGCAAATTAAGAGTGGCAAACTTCAACATGGAAACAACAGTATCCCCCTATTACTATTCAAGCCTGGCAAGGACTGTTGCAGGCTGAGGGGGAAACAGGAAGAAACCTCTTCCTGAGATAGTAGTGAATTCTCCTCTCCCTTATAAGACTGTTCAATACAGTATTTTAGTGCTGCCTAATTAATCAGAAAGAGGGACACCATTAATATGCAGGCCAGTTATCTTAGAAGCAGTTTGTTAAACAGATTAAGACAAGCTTGTCTCTTATCCCTCCACCAGCAGCAGCATGTTGACCTCATCATTTATTTCACAAATTAGGCTTGGAGATGATCTTAGAAGGAATGGTCACCACTGAGCTTGCTTAACTTTGAGAGTAAACAGTTGGAACATCAGACTTAATATTTGGAAGGGTTCTTTACTGATTTCACCCTAACCTACATGTTGAAAAAAAAATGTGTATCCTGCTGTAGCAGAGTCTCAAGGAAGTTAACTGAAAAAAATTACTGTAATAAGGACAAATGGTACATGGTTCCACCTGGCATAAAACCAATCTCCTGTAGGGTCGACCTGGTTCCATCACTGCAGATTTAGGCATAATTCCATTGTAAGCAATCAAATATAGTGACTTGATAAGATCATCTTGCACATCTTATCAGAATACCAGACTACATATCCAATGACTGACAGGCACCTGTAAACTCTGTATTTTACAGCTACAAGTGAGACTGTTCCTCCCATGTTGTGCTGCTTGTTGTTTTGTCTTTTTTCTTTAATTCTGTTTTTGAAGTATACCAAACACCTACACCATCCTCCTTGATGTCAAGAGGTCTGTCCTTACAAAGGGCCATACTTTTCACATAGTGATATGTGACACATTGTGGAACAATTTGTCTCAATCAGTGAAAGCAGCTGCAGCTTCCCACTTCATGCAATATATTGGTCAGCCAAGTGTTCAATGCTGGTTTTGCATCACTACTGTTGCATGACTGCATTCAGACTGACACTTCAGTCTTCGCACCATGGCAGAACAGAACCATGCATTACACATCCCTTGAAAAAATGATGAATCAAAATAGCATCGTTCCCACTGGTGCTTAAAACCAAGAGTCCAGATACTAATCAAGGCAAACACAGATCACAGATTAGGGTGCTGTGAGGAAGAATTTTGTTATTAAGGATTCCAGCTCTAAGGGAGAAGTAACCTGTCAGTGATGAACTAGGGAGAGGAGAGGGTAAGGAAGGATGTCACTGCTGAAATAAGTGTTAGATTATCAGGACTTCTTGTTAATCTTTCAGGTTGGGCTGCCTGTCACTGGGGTGTCACGGCTGAGCTGCTTCACCAAGGTTGCTCTGCCAATTTGATCAGAAGCTAGTTGTGTTTACAGTTCTCAAACTGGCAAGCGTTACCACCTAAAGGGGATGGGAGTGGCAGGGAGAATTAGGCTGTTAAGTAACTGTTCTGAACAGCAGTTCCATTCCCTTCAGCTTCACTGACTGGCTCTGAGTCACTGCCAGGGAATACAGAAGAATTTCCAACTGCGTTTCATCACTAACCATTTTAGAATTCCCTATCTGCAGAAAACATTTACCCAATAGAAAGAAATCCCAAAACCTTTCACCTCACTGTCTATGGGAACAAAGGAAAAAAAATAAAACAAAAAAAAGCACTTTGATTCCTATTTTCCTACTTAAGAGTTCAGGAACAACACAGTGACAGTTATCTTTGTGATTCTGTAATGCATTCACTGAACGACTGCTGTTACCAGATCCCCTGGTCCCAAGCTGCCATGGTTGTGGAACACTACAGCATATACAATTCTTGCCTAAACCAGAATAAGTTACCTGCGAGCTCTAATTAAACAAGACCTATTGGCCACCCTCCAGAAAAAAAACCAAACACAACCACTTTTTGTTCACCAAAACAGTACCTGGGGCTGTACCACTGTAGTAAGATTCTGGATCTTTGATTTCTTTTACTTATAAGCAGTAGCTGCTTGAATAGATTGCAAGAGTCTAGAAAAGCAGCTTGTAGAGTGGGTGCTCTAGCATAGAGTAATTGTGCTCAAATTAAGTGACCTTTCCATACATAAATCCTTTCCACGCAGAACTAGGTCATAGATATCTTCAGCCCTAAAAAGCATTTCAGTCATCCATGCAGAAGGGAAACGATGCTTATCACTCAGCTTGCATCAGTTAACCTGTAGAGCTGATGCACCCTTCACAGCATCAGTGCTGTACGGTCAGCCTTGCACGCTCCCATCAAAGCAGTACCTGCAGGTTCTTCCTCATGAGTATTCCTGACAGCAGAGTTCATCTGTACTCCAAGAACATCACAACAAAGAAGATTTAAACACCAAATACAAAGCCCCCAGCCCCTGTGCACTACAGCAGGCAAATGCTGAGGGAATTTCCAGTTCCGCTGCAGAGGCTCGCTCTGACTGAACCTTTTAGCTCAGTCATGCTGGACTCCTGCAGCAAAGGGAAGTAGCCTAGCAGGTACAGAAGACACCTACAAGCTGAGGCCTTGCTCACACAACATCACGTGGCATCAAGTAGTACAGGTGCAAATGAAGGCCAAACCTCTACACGTCTTTGCATGCTAATGATACTAAGGGACAAGTAGTAACACAGGCCTTACAGTATGGGACAGTGGCTTCTATGTAAAGATTATTAAAGTGAAAAATTCCACAAAAGAAATTCTGTAATAAACATCACTCAAGCATTAGTACCATGCCTGAAACTTCCATGCTAAACCCTTTTTCCCTTTTGTAAAACACTATTAAAATCCTTTATCTCATTACTACATTCCAGAAAGCTGTTCCAGAATCTGCAGGCCTATGCAGCTTCTGAATTTGCTGCTGCAGTAAATGCAAAACTGAAAGTGGGAGAAGCTTTTCCGGGCTAATAAAAGAAAATAGCAATTAAGTAAACTCACAGCACATGCATCTCTTAGTGGATATAAATGTAGTCTAATAATTCTTGACTTTTAACAACTATCATCCTAGTGGCAGGAACCTTAATCTTAAATTAAGCCTGTAACAGTCCATTAGAACAATCTCACACTTACAAGAGAAAAAAACATCTTTAAGTGACCATTCTCACTGTTCAATCCCCAGAGATCCAGATTTAACAGGAGATGGCATTCATTAAGTGCAAGTAACCTAATGACTCAGCACTGACAAGTGCAAGAAAATGTAGTGTTCTCCCAGCAGCAAAACAGAAATGGGAGTATGCACAAGGAGCAGGAGTTTATGGCACTTACACCAGATTTTAAAGTCTAAAGTCATTTTAAAACTAATACATTATGCCTTAATGCATCAACAAAAA